AAAATGACTTATTTACTCAACTGGATTTACAAGAATGACAAAACCAGATTTAGTAGTTTCAGTGTGGTCTTAGGAAGGGCAAGAGGAGTGCTTGAAAAATTGTACTATATAAATAACCAAACAAAAAATAGTTTGCTTATTCTTCTGCATAGAGCAGTCATATTTCAGTTCCAAGCTCTCTCCCAGGACCTGCAGAAGCTTTTGGCATGTGTAGAAACTATTGCCAACAAATCTGTGTGCCAGGATTTAGGCACCTTAGTATTTTCCAAATGTGCTTCCATAAATTTGACATCTGCTGAAATTAGATCAGTTGAATGATATTCTATTGGCATGACAAGGTATGAAGAGAATATAGAAAGTGATGCTGTTTTCTGTATAAGTCTCAGAAGTAGCAACAACATGCCCAAAATAGGGACCTCTTTTTGTTTGAGAGTATCTTGTTTTCATGTGTCAGTACCTGTAAAAAGAGAAAATGATTGAAAAATGATAGAAATGATTGGAAGAATAGACATTATTTTAAGGTGCCTAAAATTAAATACTGGGAAAAATGGTTCCCAATATCTTCTGTTTCTTTCCAGTTTTCTAACAGTAATAAAAGGATGATTCTTGCTACTGTGATACTTCTAATACAAAGGATTGGTTTACAGTCTACATATTAGGATAATAAGCATTTTCATAAGATTGGGCAATTTTATGCTTAGTCTGTTGTAAGGTATTTTAAGTACTAGACTTTTTCCCAGAAATGATTTTGAAATTTTAATCTGAGTGAGCTTTTATAGGTTTTTATAATTCAGTTGAATTTGTGGATGGAGGAGTGAATTTTTACTCATTAAATAGTTAGGTCTACTGGTTGCAAGTGAGTAGGCTGGAAGGTTAAAGGGAGAGGTTCACTGAACTCCATAGGGGAGAGCAAGGCGAGTTTCCAGAGTTACTGAGTTGTCCAGCTGACCTTTCCATCTTTGTTTTTCAATAGGAGAGGGAGTTTTCCATTGGTGCCCAGCCACTGGCTGCAGAAGCCCTAAATCTTGTATTTACTGCAGACAGAACAGAAAGCAGTATCAAAAACTCTTTACCTGTACATGTCAACACACAGTTGCATGTAGGGAGGGGTAATGTTTTTTCTGTGATTCTCAGCACTATAATAATGCGTCTGGTAATGGAAATACATATATATTTGATGAGTTCGGGTTGGAAATAGCTGCCATAAAATATTACATATTTTAATATGATAACATTAAAATATCATGTAGGAAAATTCTCACTGTTGAATGTTCTGCTGGAAGATAATAATAAACTTGTGGTTTGCTCATCTTAAGTGGAAGCTACACTTGGCTCATACGGATGTCCTGTATCTGTCAGAAGTGATCATGGTAGAGACAGTTCCTCCTTACCTACTTTGTCTGTGAACTTGGCACGTCGCATGCTCTAGACGGGATAAATCTGATCCGCACTTTTATGGCAGATCTCCAAGGAAAAGTTGAGGAAGTGCTATTGCTGATTCAGTGCAAGGCAATCTTTCTATTATATTTGCTTGGACTTGTGACCTCTGCCTGTTTCCAGGCAGTATTCAGCAGTGAGAGGTATTTTCTTTCAAGGGTGGCATCTACCTGGGGAATATCCCAACCTTCTTTACGACCCTGGTGATTTGTAAGCTGTGACTGTTAAGATCAGAACCAACATCAGGTTTTGTGCTCACATGTCTGAAGCAGAGCGTGAGACTCTACTGCTTTTCCCCCTGCACAGATGTGATTTCTTGTCAGGAAGCCACACAGCTGTTTCGCTCCTTTGTCTACCTGCATATGGTTTCCCTGGCACCCTGGGCCTAACAATTCTCTCACACATCTATTTATAGCTCTCTGAACATGTTGAACCATTTCAAAGGGTAAAGAAATGGAGCTGAGTTCGCCTTTTAGTTTGGAGAAAGAGACTTTAGGGAGAAGTTAATACATTCTGTAACGGTAACACTGAAATCTGTGGGATCAACATTCACGCCATCAAAATGAATGTGTATTATGTGGGGGACTAAATAAAAATATAGGGCCTTGTTTGGATGTTACCTTTCATCATCAAAATGATCTTGTCCAAAGTTTTAGTCTTAAGAAATAGAGGAAGCCTTAGCTATTTCCAGTAAGGGTATATGATTGGAGTTTTGAACCTTTATTTGAAGATATATATATATGTTTTTATATGTATTTTCTAAATATGTATGTCTTGGCTTCTTTTCACTGGAGCAGCAATTGGGAAATTGCTTTTTTTCCCCACTTTGTTAGCAACATGCCACTTCAGTTTGATCCAGGAGAGTACAGAGTTTGCTCCACACCTTCCGAGTGAGATTCAAACTGCCTTAGGGTAGGTGCCCAACAAGCTGAGTGCTGATTGATGACAGTAGGAGTGCCCAGCTCTACCCGATGGAAGAATTCCCCTGTAACCGAGACTGCAGAAGTGTCTGAGGGAATCTGACACCACATTTAGTTAACGGCCTCTTGATTTCTTACTCAAGGAAGGACTAAATCTCTTTGGCTCTGCAGGCTTGCAGAAATAAGGAATAATTTTCATTTTATTCCAAAATAAGCACTCTGTACGTACATGTGGCCTCTTTTCAGGGGAAGTGTACTGGTTGAAGATAGTATTTAAACATGTATTTAAGCAAGTGTTTAACTACCACTGAAGTCATGGAACTAAGGACGCACTTAATTCCCATCCTCAGAAGGAGCCAAAGAGGAGGATTTGCTGGGCAAGACTCTGCCTTTTTACAGTCGCTTTTTAAACAGTATAACAAGGTGTCTAGGATATTGTTAATACTGAATGATTCCTGAAGGGCTCATCAGAAACTGAAATCTAAATTCAGAGGCATTGCTTAAGTTTAATGTCAAGGTTAAAGAACATTCACAGCCCTACAGCTAGCAGTGCTGTGGAGTTCCTGCTTAAAGAGGAGGCCAAAACTGTGGAAGATAAAAATTTAGAATTAGCTGTCATGATCTTACTGTTCCTTTTGCTTTGCAATTTTTAAGCTTGCAGGATTAGTTTGTTTTGAACGGTGAGCAGTAAGAAGAACAGTGAGCTTAAATCTTTTCTATTTTGTAGAAAAAGATACTTAAATACAGTAGCTTTTCTTTAAAATGTAGGGCATAAACAAAATACGTGACGGCACAGTACAGAGCTTATCTTGGCGCAGCGCTGGGATGACTGCATTGCCTACAGAGCTTTTGATACTCGTGAATAATGTGATCATTGCAAATTTGTGCCAATGCAAACTGCATACGCCACCGGAGGGGCTGTTGGTGTACAAGTGTGTGTGCGTGCACTTCAGTTTTGCGGGTCCCTTCTGTTTCAGCACGTTTTTAGTACCTCGTGGAGGGAGAGTGTTGAGGCCAGTTTGTATCTTATGCCTGGCCTGGCTGCCAGAAGAGCCTCTGAGGAAAAACGAGGCAAACAAGCTAACAACTAGGAGTTGCTGCAAAGAACTCGCTTCTCTTTTCTTAGCCTTCCTCATCCTTGTCCATTCCCTTCACTTGCCTTGAACTAATTCTGATATTCATCCTAGCATAAGGTAAGACAGCTCAATCCAGTAAAATGGAAGATAAACTGACAAGAAGGAGGGGAAAAGAAAAAAAAAAAAAAGGGAGGGAGGGGACCTTTTTTCCATTACTACTAAATGATTTTTCTTACCTTTCAATTTGATAATCAAGAGAGCCAGCAGTGGCTCCAAAGGATCGTGGGTGCCAGCCTTTCCCTGTCTGGTTTTGGGTGCATATAGGCACATCCAGCAGTTCTGAAGGAAGGAGCAGTAGGGTTTGATACGTGCCTTGTGTATTTGCTGTCGGCAGTATTGCAGGTTTTAAGCACCTTAGCCTAGGTGTAAAGCCTAACCAAGGTTATCTTATCTGCCAGGTCTTTTTTTGCTGTGGTGGTCATAAATGCCCAGTCCCAAACATGCAACCCTGTGATTAATCTGGACAAGCTGATGTTAAAACCAGCTGAAGTTTGCCTAGAGCTTGCAGTCTATAACAGAAGAGCACACTGGACATCATTATAGGACTCTGAGGGACTTGAACTCCTATTGAGTACCCGAAGATTTGACTTGAGAGCTTTTCAAATTGATCGTGGTTGATGGTCCATAAAACTGACCAGAGTTGTCTCATTCAGAGACAATTCTGAACCCCAGTGAACCACCATGCCAACTTACAGACAAATGTAGCCTGACATGAGTGGGGAGAAGGAGCTGAGGCCTTGGTAAAGGCTGTGGACTGTAAATAGCATCACACTCATGGTGGTTTATACCAGGCTGCCCTGAGAAGACCTCATGGCCATGAAATGGCACCACTTCATTGTGCTTCCATGAGCTGATAAAACTGATGTGGCATCTTGAATTAGAAAAACAACATGGAGATTCAGTCATATCATGCAACTTCACGTTAGCAAGCAAGAAGGGAGGAGCAGGGGCTGAAACAGGAGAGGATTCTTCTTCTTTCTAGCAGTGGTGAATTGTAAAGTTCTGAGCAGCATCATGAAACCACATCCATGGAGTGGCCTGTAAGATTTCGTTCTTCCTTCCTTTGCTGTTTAAGATACAGCTGAAAACAGGGTATTAGTTTCAAAGATAATATTTATGGGGTAGAGTTACTTCTCAGCACTAGAATTGGCTCCTTGTCTGATGAAGTAATGAGGAAATTATCAAACTATTATTCTCTTGCTGTGAAGAAAATGATGCTTTTTAAAAGAGCGTCAACTTGGTCATCTAAGAAAGAAGCTCTTTGAAAGAGTAGTTCTGTTGTAGGTGATTGTATCACTTTGCATTTTATTTTTCTAACAAGAAAGGTGTGCTATTTGCAATATTCTTTTTATTTACTGTGTGTAATTCAGAATTTTCTGTGTTTGGAATTTGTTAGGGGTTGGAGTGGGTGTCTGCCCATTTACCAGTCTCCATCTGAGCTGCTCCCTACCTCCTGGTAGCTGTAAAAATTCATTTCCATCCCTTCTCCTTGTCTCTTTGCAGGTTATCTTGACAAATCAAATTACCACACGGCTGAGCAATGGCCTTGCGGTCCAGGCAGACTTGGTGTCTCCAGCTGATGATTTGTCCCTGTGTGACGGTAAGAGATCCCTTCTGTCAGAGCTGGAACTCTATCCTGACACAAGCGCCCACTGTAACTCGCCATCTCCCGTTGATGTACAGGGGCCTGCGAGAGTGGGGCTATCAAGCCAAACATTAAACATAGAGAACGAAGTGATTTATCCATTTCTTTGAAAATTAAAAGAGAGAAAGCACGTTAAATGGAAGGCACTGATACTTCCTAAGGGCTGGGAATGAGTTTTCAAGCGAAGTTCTGTAATATGCCCTTCAACATTGTTCATTCACATACATTGGGAGCATATTTTTTTTATCCATCTCCTGGAGCTACTGCTGGAGTTAATAGATAGGCGAGGCTGCAGGTTTGATCTGATAATTATCAGTAAGGTCATAGAGAAGAAACTGGCCACAGATGAAAGAGAGCAAACATTTACTCCTGTCTCTTGTACTGTGCCACTCAGTTTTCACATACAGTGCCTCAAACTGAAGCTTTCAATACAGCATGAATGTAATATGAGCTTCAGTGTGATGCTGTGCACTACATTACAACTTCAGGCTTCTTTCTGTTTCTGTACTTGTCTCAGAGCAATGAACTTTGTATAGAATTAGAGACAAGCATTACATGTTTTGGCAGGAAAATGAGCGTTAAGATTGCCAAGGAAAAAAAAAAGTTAATTCTGAATCAAGTTTTGCACTGTAACATAGTAATTTCAGCTTTCCCAAATGCAAAGAATATTGTACCCTCGGTCAAGTATAGATGCAGAGAAGCTTGTTATATAGAGAGTTCAATTTGTGTTTAGACCCAAAGTAGCATGAAGATCTAAAGTGGTAAATTGTGCCAGAATGAAACCTGTGCAAAATGGATGCCTTTGTTTAGCTTCAGAACGAGAACAGCACGAACAAATTCTTGCCTAATCTAACACATAACCTAAGAAACTTCCCTCAAAAGCACAATCAGAAACAAGAAAAAAAGCCACCGTAGCATTCTGTTTCTTTCTAATAACATGTCCAGTCTGCAAATTATCGTTTTTGTTTCTGCCTAAGAAAAGATTATCCTTAAGGTGCCCTGTCAGTGCAAAGTTGTTCACCTCTGACAAAAAGAGGAATTTCACACTCATACAACATTTGATTTCCCTGTTAATGTTGCTATCAAAAAATAGATATGTAGGCACTGCTTTTATATACAGATTATTGCTCTCTCCTGAGAAAATCCCCCATAATTGATTTCCTATTAGGTGTTTGTTCTGGCAGTATTAATCTTTTGGGAGTCTGGGGTGCCCTCAAGAGTCCCTCATGAAGTAGTCTTTCAGCATTAATGCGATAATCATATTTACTCGCATTTTGCAAATGTGGAGTTTTTATGTATGTTCCAGAGTCAGGAATAAAAGCCAAATTTATGGCTGGGTCCTTACCTCACTCTTCCTTTTCACTCGTCACCAACTTAAGTTGAATTTGAACCAGTGACCTCGATGTGAAAGGACCCATAACACATTATTAGTCCTATAAGTAACCAAGATCTCTTTGTTGCATATATCTAATACGTTTTCTTAATCATATCTGAAATCATAGTCTTGTCACTGTAAATGGCGTGCTAAAAAGATAATCTTTTCTTGGACAGAGAGAGAATTGATATTTGCAGACTGGACATGTTATTAGAAAGAAACAGAATGCTACGGTGGCTTTTATTCTTGTTTCTGATTGTGCTTTTGAGGGAAATTGCTTAGGTTATGTGTTAGATTAGGCAAGAAACCAAGGAAGCTGTTCATTTGGTGTGTGTCAGTGAGTTAATCTTAGAAACAAGGTGAACAGACATGGTCAAGCTGTTTCAGACTCAAAGTTTGTCTTCTGCAAAATTGTAATGCAGTACGTAACAGCTTGCATCCTATAAACATGTTGCTTTTTCTGTGAAAATACAAAAGGCTTTAGAAAAGCAACACTGACACCCAATGCCTCACTGCCAGTGCAGTGATAGAAGAACTGTTAGTTTGCGCTGTGTAACAAATGTTTCACTAAATTCCCTGATCTGTGCAGATTTTTACTTCAAGACAGAGAGAAAAACAGCAGTGTATAGTTAGTTGCAAATAAAGCCATAAGTGCAAAAGTTGCTGTGGCTATGGGTTGAGGTCCTTGCTTTAATTTCTTGCCAGTACTATCATCTGAAAGAGTTGATTAACACTATTGTTTTTTGCAGTTCTAAAACTCACAGGCACACTTCTTCACAAGAAACTGGGCTCAGTTTTTATTTGCTCTGTTGATTTGCACCAGCCATACAAGACTGGTCTTTGTACTGGGTCTTAGTGAAGAGCTCCTTTAGTTATAAATAACAATGAGTCAGTTCTTACACCAGATATGCAAAGCAGACTGGATAAAATTAGTTCTCTATATTAGCTGACTTAAAATGCCATTTATATAAGAAATTCATCTTTGAGGTGGGATTATTATGAGAGACCTATTCCTATATAGCCTTCTTGCAAGCCCTGTCATCAGAGAGGAGAGACCAAAACATAATCTAAGTGCCAGTTTCACTTTGTACTTGCACTTGTTTCACAAATACTCCTCTGAAAAAGTCCCGCTACTCCTCCATCTGTTATAATATAAGAAATAATTTTAAACTACTTATTAAGCTCACAGTAGAAATAGTGTAAGCATCCACAACAAAGTATTTTGTGTAGTTGTTAGTTGTTGTTTTTGTTATCTGTGCTTGTGACTGCTACTTTTTGTTATATTTGCAAATTTCAAATGATTGAGTTGTGCCTAATAGAAAGGATCTAGAAGTAAATTCTAAGGTGATGTGGCTGTGTGTTAGCTGGAAAGTGACACATGTTTCATAAGTGTTAGTCTTGGACCTGCAGGTTAAGCAAAATTAAGCAAAATTGTGTTATGGTGCAAAGAGTTGGGACAATATGACCCACTTGAGATCCCTTCTAGTTCCCCAGCATCTATCATGTTAATGTATCTCCCAGCTGCAAGCTCAAACTTGCTCTTGTGGACATCAAAGACAAACCCCATCTTTCTTGGGAAAAGGTCAGGAGTGTGATGTTATGAACAAGAACAGAATCCTCCTCCCAGCATGTACAAAGTGTGAGGCAAGAAAAGAAATCATCTCAGGCTTCTTCAGTCTGAGCTAACACTTTCAAATATTTGTTTGGAGAAGTCGGAATTATTTTGTTTAATGTTGTCTGTAAACTTCTGCCAGCTCCGGGGAGTACGGCGTTCAATCTTCCACCGTTTGTGTTCATCAAACTTTGCCATAGCATTGTATATTTTTAATGCATGGTGTGAGCAATGAGCTTGGTCTGACCTTTTCATTTTTGTTGCCGTGATCTTAGGGTCTTCTAAGCTGTTGAGCCAAACTAGGCTTTTGTATTGTGGAAACTGAAGCAAACTAAGCTTCCCTAATGTCTCCCACAACCGAATGTTTCTACTTTTAGTCTAGAGGCTTTAGTCTATGGAATAAAGTGGAATGTTTGGAGCTAGAATCCTGGGCATCTATTCTTTGCTTTGACTTTGGTTTTCTGTCAGACTGTGATCAAGTTACTTTGCTCTTCAAGCCTGTCTCAGTTTTCCTGTTTTTAATGTGGGGATTTGTTTGTTCTTCACAACTACTGCTTTATATTTGAAGAGGTTCCTATGGGGAGAATAATGTCTTGACCTGCTGCTGGCCCCAGAGTAAAGTCATTCTGTAGATAATTCCCTTTCCCCACTCAAATTCTTCCTCCCCCAGTCCTGGTGCTGTATCCAGAGAAATGACTGAAGGGAATTAATAAAAGCACTCAGGGGCCCTGAAAAACTAGTATTTGTGGATTGTTTTGATTAATTGATTTATATGCCCGTGTTTAAGGTTAGCCCTGCAGATGACTTAAAAAATCAAAAAGAATATTCTCTAAGAATACATACCTATATATATGTAGATCTAAATATATCTGTTTTTCAGCAACTGTGAACTTATGAACAGAACAGCTGCTAAGCAAGGTTCCCAAACACTTTCTGCTTGCAGTTTTACAGTCAGTACAAAGTAATGCTTGTCCTGATGAAGTAACTCCAGCATGTTAAGAATTTAAATGCAGAAGAAAGAATCATAACATTTTGACAGGCTCTAGGCCTTTGGTATTTTAGCTGCATGCTCTGTGAAACCTTTTACTAGCTGGTTTGCACAATTTTGCTTGATAGAGGAGGTAGTTTGTCCTGGATTAGGGAAACACTAGTGTTATTTGATTATAGTAGTTTTTAAAATGAGACATTTCATCAATTATTATCCTGTCCTTCAGCAGGAATTTGATTTTCTGAAACCCAAGTATTTGGAAATAGTAAATAGAAGTTATTTTATCATCATCATATAGAAATAAATAGGCCTATTTATAAAACTAGGATAATCTCCTCCATTTAGTGTAGTGGAAAAAAGGTCATTGCACTGTGTGCCCTTGTGAGACCCGCTAAGGGCTAGTGGATTTTACTTGTGCGCAAAGGGAATACGTGCAAATAACACTTTAGCCAAATTATTTGGGAGATGAGTTCCAACAACTAAGCTGTGTCTGGGCATACAGTAAAGCACTGAACTGAAATTGAGGTGCCTGTGTGAAGAGTGAAGACTAAAACAGAGTCCTGAAAAGGTAATGGAGTTGTGTGTTTGTATTATAGCTTAACTTGGTAGTGAAGTGTTCAAATAGATCTTTTGCCCTCGCCTCTCATGATGATGTGAGGTATCATAGGGAGATTGCCCCTAGTTTTCCTCTGCAGTATGAATCACTCTTTCCCACCTGATGAATCACCACTCAGGTCCAAGACCAGTAGCCCTCCGATGCTGGGGTAGCAGAGCTCAGTGAGTCATCAGGGTTAGGCCTCCAGGCTGAGCCCTTGGAACAGGCCTTTTGTGTAGGAGGAGTTGGCAGAGCTGCTCATTACCTCTCATTACCTTCCTTTCAGCTCACGTGAGTTGTGTGGAGCAGCTCGAGGAGCTTCTTTCTAATTTTCTTTCTGTGCTGCTGGATTTCTTGTCTCAGCAGTCTTTGAGACATCTCCACC